GATTTTTTTTTTTTTTTTTTTTGAGACAGGGTCTCGCTCTGTCATCCAGGCCGGAGTGCAGTGGCATAATCCCAGCTCACTGCAACCTTGTTTTCCTGTACACAAGTGATTCTCTCCTCTCAGCCTCCCAAGTAGCTGGGACTACAGACATGTGCTGCTATGCCCAACTAAACTTTTATTTATGAAGGGGACCACCCAAAAAACAATTATCTTTTGGAGAGCAAGCCCCTTGTAGCACACTCGAAATTTTTTCCTCCACATCAAATGGTCAATCAGAGTTTTTATTTGGAAGTTTTTAGAAGGTTGTGTCAGTTTGGAGAAGAAATGTCCTGAGTTGTGGCAAACAGGTAACTGGCTCTTCAACCATGACATGCGCCTGCCCACATTGAGCTGAGTGTTCAGCAGGTTTTTTTTTTATCAAAAATGACATGGCTCTTATGTACCACCCTCCCTGTTCACCCAATCTTGCCCCAAGCGACTTTGTTTCCCTAGATGAAAAACGTCCACAAAAGGAAACATGTGGCCAGTGTGTGAGGTGAAACACAAAATGGCAGAAGCACTAAAAGCCATCAACACTGACAATTTCAAAAACTGTTCTGAACAGTGGAAAAGCCGTTTTGTTTTGAGTTGGAGTCTCACTCTGAGGCCCAAGCTGGGGTGCAGTGGCATGCTCAGGCAATCCTTCTGCCTCATCCTTTCAAGTAGCTGGGATGACAGGTGTGCACCACCACACTCTGCTATTTTTTTTTTAATTGTAGAGACAGGTCTTGCCATGTTGCACAGGCTGAGCTCAAACTCCTGGGACTCAGACAAACCTCTTGCCATGGCCTTTCAAAGTGCTGGGATTACAGGTGTGAGCTACCAAGGCCGGCCTCTTTTTTTTTAAAGCAGGATGTATTGAGAGGACAGAAAAGCTCCCAGAGTGGGTTGGCCACCTCCTTGTCTTTTTAAATGAAGTCTTAATGTGAAATCACAACATATTAAGTCGATAGAAGCAGAATTGCTTTGGGAGTGGGGTGGGGAGGAGCTGGAACCCAAACTGCTTTCTTCTCATCTCATCTCTCTGAGTTGCTCCAGAGGCATCTATACTTAGCCCTGCCAACCCTTCTTCCCTTCCTAGTCGTCTAAACATCTTAATCTCCAGCTATTCACTATTTGGAGACTCCTGCATTGTCCTTTCTACCTCTGTGCTTGGTCACAAGGCTCCTTCATCTGGCTTCACCTACTTTTTAGCCAGTTCTCTGGGCTCCAGTAGTACTTCCTAGCTTTCTCTTCCCATTAACATCGCTTCTCTTTTTGTTCCCCTGTTATCACACTGATCATGCGGAATTATAATTTTTTCTTTTTCTTTTGAGTTGGACTCTCACTCTGTCACCCAGACTGGAGTGTAGTGGCCACTTCCGGCCACTGCAGTCTAGGCCTGCTGGGCTCCAGGGATCCTTCCACCTCAGTCTTCCAGTAGCTGGAACTACAGGCGTGTGCTACCACGCCCGGCTGATTTTTTGATTTTTATTGTAGGGAATGAGGTCTTGCCAAGTTGCCCAAGTGGGTCTCGAACCCGCGAGCTCAGGCAATCCACTCACCTCGGCCTCCCAAAGGCGTGGGATTAAGGCTGAGCCACCGAGCCCGGCTCTTTTTTTTTTTTGAGTTGGGAGTCTCACTTCATCACCCAGGCTGGAGTGCAGTGGCACGCTCATGGCTACGAAAGCCTTGACCTGCTGGGCTCAGGCAATCCTTCTGCCTCAGCCTTCCAAGTAGCTGGAACTACAGGCGCACGCTACCACGTCTGGCTAATTTTTTGATTTATTGTAGAGATGAGGTCTCACCAAGTTGCCCAGGCTCTTCTCAAACCCGTGGGCTCTGGCTAATTTTTTGATTTATTGTAGAGATGAGGTCTCACCAAGTTGCCCAGGCTCTTCTCAAACCCGTGGGCTCAGCTTCCCAAAGTGCTGGGATTACTGGCTTGAGCCACCACGCCCCACCTGAATTGTAATTTTTTATTTACACATCTAAACAGAACTTTAGATAAGACTCTGTATTTTCCCCGATCTCTTTAATGTTTACCAATGGAATGAATATATCGATGAATGAATGGCTGAAAAAACTGAGCTAAGCCAGTCTGCACTGGCAGACTACCTTTTTTTTTTTCCTTTGAGTCAAGAGTCTCATTCTGTCACTCAGGCCGGAGTGCAATGGCTCGGTCAAGGGGCACGGCAGCCTCAACCTGCTGGCCTCAGGCGATCCTTCCGCCTCAGCCTCGCCTCAGCCTTCCAAGTAGCCGCAGCCACAGCCATGCACGGCTAATTTTTTGGTTGATTGTAGAGATGAGGTCTCGCCCAGTTCCCCAGGCTGGTCTCGAACCCGCGGGCCCACGCAATCCCTGTTACTTCGGCCTCCCAAAGTGCTGGGATTATAGGCGTGACCACTGCGCCCTGCCTTACCATCTATTTTCAACAGGTTTTAAGATATAATCCACATACAATTCTAGAGTTGTGCAACCATCACAATCTAATTTTAAGCCATTTTTGTCCCGCCCCCCTCCCAAGAAAGCCCATAACCATTAGCAGTCGTTTTCTCTTCCCAAACCCGCAAACCTTCCCCGGCTCTAGGCAACCACTAATCCACTTTTTCAGACCGCTAAATTTGACGTGAATCGATCGCAAATCTTCCAACTCTCCCTATGACATCTGGACCATAATGCGAAATCTGTTCGGTGACGTTCCCGTGCCACTAACATGAACTGAACGAACAACTGCTGGCGGCATCTACGAAACGCGCCGGATAACAGGCTGCGGAGGGAAGTCTACCCTCCAGAAAATTCACGGCCCTCGGGTTAAGAGCGTGGCAGCTCGCAGGCGCTTTTATCTTTGACGCGATTGCTCCACAGGACCGCCCTGGAGGGGTGTCGCGCGGGCAACCTCGGGACTCAGAGCCGGGCGCCCACCGCGGGCGGCACTTCCCAAACGCCCTCGGGTCGCGGCGCGTTGCCCGGCGGAACCGTCTCCCCTCGCGGTCGCCGCGTCCGCGTCGCTCGCGCAGTGACGTAACGGCGCGCGATGACGCG